AACAAATATTAACTTTAGGAATGATTATACATTTAGACTATATTTCTTAATAAATTTCCTTGCATAAATTGTCCCTAATCTATAAACCAATTTTAAATAAAATCCATCACGCCGGGCAGGCATTTTACATCTTACTCTATTTATTGCACCATCTCTCCTCGGAAACCTTTTAGCTTTCATGCTATTCCACAGCCGAGTATCTCATTAGAGCCGCCAAGATAAAGTTCTTTTTGAGATAAAGTAATTATAGTGAATGGAGGGGAAAATACCAGCCAGGGTTCTTGGCTACAGCAACCTCCTGGCTTATGATTCATTTTTAGACTAATAAACTGAGCGCAAAGAAGAAGATTTTAATGGCAGATGACCCGGGCTACCCAGAGTTTGTGCTGGAGGGATTAACAATTTCCACCTTACCCACACCGCAGAGTCGCAGAGGTGGGAGCTTACAATGTGAGTTCTGCGGTTGCTTTGATGCGTTTTTGGCAGAAAACTCTTCACCTGAACAAATAACGGCGAGACCTAACAGTTTCTAAATGTTCAGAACGTGCCTGGCACACACAAAGTCCTTCAGTGAGTTACTGGCAAATCACCGAATCTTTGCTGTGACTTCAGTGAAATTTTTATGTCAATTTTACAGCAAGGAAATTGAGACAAAGAAGGTGAGCAACCTGCCCAAAGTCACCCAGCCAATAAGTAAGTGCAAGACCCCGAATCCAAGCACCTGTGGGGACAAGGGCCGTGAGCGGCCATTCTCTCCAGCTCCTTGCTCCCAGGTGGTTCCGAGCCCAGAAAACTCACTTCTACAGGTGCTCTATCTTCTCCCATTATCAGATCAATAAACACTTTACTCGTAAGATCCTCACTGTATTTTAAACCCACATGCTGTTAGAAAAGCCAGTCCATTTCTCCCTATCCTAGAAGCTTCACTTTCTACAGCAGGCAGCGCCCACCTGGAGTGCGGGCAGCGGTGGGCACAGGGGTCAGACGGGCCAGGCCCCTCGTCCACGACTCGGAAGGGAGCATCCTGAGGCTCAGTGGGCAGACGCCTGCAGGTCTGAGGAGGAGAAATCCTGGCAAAAGGATCCCCATGAGCAGACTCTTCTTCATCAGTGTGAGATTCTAATGAAGCTTCATCAGCCCAGGAAATTTTATTAGCGAGTCGCACTGTCTCTTGCCATCTTGCGTTTGTAGAAATTGGCGCTGGGGAACTTTTGAGAGCCGAGCTAAGAGCCATGTCGGACGACATGCTTGCTTCCCATCCAGAAGGGTCACTCTTCATAGCACACACTCAGGATTTCATGACAGACACACAGAAGGAACCGTACCGACCCACATTCTCGTCTTCAGTTTGGCAGGACCCAAGAAGGGAGGGACAGGGATGGCATCCTGTCTCTTGGTGTCATTTCTTTTTCCAATAAGAGCTCCTTCTTTACTTTGCAGTTATTTTCTAAAACCAGTGTAAGCGCTACATATCTTGGAAAGCTTCCTTTTCCTGTGTACTTTTTTGGATTAAGAAAAATAAAAGGGTTGGGGGCTAAGACTCAGTCAATTGTTTGGTTGTCCAGGCAAACGGCGATGACACGGGTTATTTTAAATGGTCTATTTTATTCTCCAAGAACACAACCAGAGCCCTGTGTGCATGGGCGAAGCAATCTCCCTTTTGTGTTCAATGCTGTGTCAGTTCTGCGTGGACCCACAAGGACAATCTTTGAGTGGGCCGTTGAGAACTGGACGTTTGCCATGTTTTTCCAATCAGCCACTGTTCACAGTTGTTGAGAGAGTGTTCATTTTTCTAAAGGTGGTTTTGATGAGTGGAAACTCTGGTCAAGGTCAACATGAAATAAAGAAGATAATATGATTTGGAGAAAGAAGAAAACCTGGTGCCCAAGGCGATTCTCAGCTCCTCCCCAAGGTCAGGCCAAGACTTCAGACACCGGTTCTCCCATCTTTAACGACAAGACAAAGAGACCATCCACAGTTTTTCATTAGGTGTGAACCCCGTAAACGGTTCGACCTCAGAGCTTTATGTATGAGACACAGAGTTTTATTACCACATGCAAATATTAAAGAGGGCTGCAGAAATGCTGGAATTATGAATAAGTTCCCCAAAATGACCACAAAAAATTAGGAGGTTACTATTGATTCATGAAAGGCATGGGACTTGTTGAAGACGTATTTCCCTGGACCAGAAAAAATAAAATTACATTTTAAAAAGTAACGCAGGAGGCTAAGTAGGTTCCGATCTCCCTCCCTGTGTATAAAAAGCCCCCTATAGAAGTTCTGATAAACCACACTCCGCTCCTCCAGAACATCAGCTACATAAGATGCCTTTTCCTTTTTCTTTCTTATTCCTGGCCGAAGGAAACTGTGTAAATTGCAGATCTTTACAAATCTCTGGAAAATGAAATCGAGCACTTGTCTACTTTCTGCGTAGCAATCCTTCCTCGGGGTCAAATCAATGCCTCCCACGTCACCTCCGATCCGAAGCCTGCAGACCAGCCAGCAGTGTGGTGTGCCCGTGTGTGCATTTACAATAATACAGAACAATAATACAGCATGTAAGATTTCTAAGTATTCACTTTCCAGCGAGTTTTCCATCCACTGTTCGCATATCACTAATCTGCGCAATAAGTAAGAACTAAAAACCATGCCCCCTGTTCACAGAGGTCCCCAAGCTGACCTAGGGACAAAGGGCGGGGGGGGTGGGGGAAGCTTCTAACCCAGGCAGTCTGGCTCCAGAGTCGCCTTTGCCAGCTCACACATGGTCTCCCAGCTGCCACTCACTTTCGCTGTGTGCTCGCTATTGGCCAGGCTCAGTGGAGCCCCACCTATTCGTGCATCACGTGAGGGCCACCACACTCTGGCTTGGTGTATGTAGACTGCTGGTGCATGTTGTTTTTCCTTTTTGTTTTCTATTTTCCCCCCATGGAGCTCATTTTCCAGTGAGAAATATCATGTAAAATTGCACATTTACGGTTTCTCTGTATTAAAAACTAGATGGGCCATGCTGAGCTTCCATGACGCCTGGCAGGAGCCCCCCCCTGCCCGAGGGCTGAGGTCTCTCCCACCCGCCACGGTTCTCGGCACCCTCACTGCCCACACGAGACTTCACCTTTGCACCACCCACGCATCTGATCAGTGGGGACGTCTGACGTGGGCCCGCCCCGCAGGCAGAGCTGTGCATGTAGTGAAAGGGGCAGCTGTAGGGCTAAGACGCCAACGGCACCAACCCAGTTCAAATCCCTCATCCGCAGCTTGTAAACTCCTGTTACTTAAATCTCTTTAAGCCTCTTTCTTTCTTCAACCTAAACAGATGTACTAACAGCAGGTCCCTCAGAGTGCTAATAAGCAATTAGGTGAGATAATCCATGAAGACAGTGAAGCCTGGAGTTACAGGATGATTGGTTATTGCTCTTTCCATTCGGAACCGTGCGGGGTTCCTGAAAATAGGTCACATTCACCACCCGGAGTTTTCCCACAGGCTGTGGATCGGGTGGGCTTCGGGGCTGGTGGTGCACTGGAAGGCGGCAGAGGGGGCAGAAACACGTGTGGGAGGGATTTTGGGAGGGCACATCTCCCAGACAGAAGCACGTTCCTATGACCACCCCAGAGGAAGGTCCACTCCCTGGGGGTCAGGACACAGCTGAGACTACCCGGGGGACTGTCCTCCTGTGGGGTTTGCCTGTGTAGCTGAAATGTTGTTCCGCACTGAAACACCGAACTGCATGTTTTGGGACTGCACCATTGTCCCCAGGCTGGGGAGGGGCTCGGTGGTGCTCCTGCCTCGGAGTACCCCTCAGGGAGCTCCCCGTGCTCCACTGCAGCCATTCGTCGGGCCTCCCGCCCCTAATCTAGGCCTGTGGAGCCCAGTGAAAAGTAAACTAATGAACCTCTTTGACTTCCATCCAATGACAAACTTACAGCACCAATAAATAAGTAGTTCTAACACATCACGTCATGCATCGCCTTTGTTTTTAACATCTGCCTTGGCTCTCTGGGGCCTGCAGAATAAAATCCAAATTCCCCAGCCCTCACTGGGACCTGACGTGGAACCAGGGCTGTCTGTCTACAGTTCAGACCCTGACCCCCCAGAGCTCTGACCCTTCCTGCTCCTGGGCTGTGCTCTCCCTGCGATGCACACATTCGCATTCACGTCAAATTTTGCCAGGCTCCACACAGCCATAGCACTGACACCAGGAACTAGCTGTGTCTGTGGTTTACATCGGGACCCAGAAACCTCCTCTCTGGAGGCTCAAGAGTAGGTATGTCGGGGTCGTGAGGCCATCGAGTCTGTCTGTCTGTCTGTCTGCCCCGCCCACGGTACCACACAGACAGAGTGTGCACAGGAGTGGGTGGGCTGCGTCCCAGTGATTCTCTGTTATGGATACTGGAGTTTAAATTCCTTGCAATGTTTATGGGTCACGCGACATTATTCTTCTGATGTTCCCAAGCACTTAAAAACATAAGGAGCATTCTTTGATCGTGAAACAAGGCCAAGGCCACGGAAGATGCTGGTGTGCAGATCCCTACTTCAAAGGCGCACCGTTCCCTGATCCACAACTTTCTTTTCACCTTGGCCTTGGGGAACACCTTGCATTTAGCAACCTCACGTACAGCAACCTCAAGTGAGCCATCCGATGAATTCGGACAAGTATATGCAAACATGTGGCCGCCACACAGACCAAGATAGGAACCGGTTCCAACATCTCAGAAAGCTTGTAAAAGACACCCCACAAAAGTCTACCCCTGCTTGTCTTAAAAGCAGTTTCTCTCTCCTTTCAATCAGGCCTGGACCAAAGAAATGGGGGCAAATGTCCCGGGCTACCTAAATATTATAGAGTCACATGGTTTCAAATGACACTGCAGACACCATAACCCCTGCCACCACATGGAGGAATGTCCATGTGAGAGGCATGGGGACAGCTGGTTAGAAACTCCACAGGTGGCTCTGCAAACGCACGTTACCTTCCTGGGCAGCCTCTGCTAACGCGCGTCCTTACCTGGGCCAAGGTGAGCGTGGCTTGTTGGCAGGTGCCGCAGCGCACCCTGAGCTTTCCTGGCTGCACTCTTCGACAGGGGCCTTTGCAATAAACATAAAAGCTGTTGTAAGCCGGTCTACCTGCTGGGGAAAATAAAAAAAGCAGGGGAAGTAGTCAATCAATGTGGAATCCAAACTGAGACAAACTTCAGAACTCCTCAGAAGCATTTTGAAACATTAATGGGATTAATATTCCGATGAGGATATAGCAACTTCACTTGGAAAATCTAGTATTATGCTCAAAAGAGTGAAACTCTTTTCTTCTTCTTGCCAACAGCCCTGTGACTTAGCAAAGTCAGCAGCCGGCTGCCAAGTTTGCGGCCAAGTGCACATGTAACTTGGGGACACGCGAGGCGCCCTTTGCTGCTGAGGTTTTTACATGGACGAGGAATGACGTAGAGACAACCGGAGATTGTCCTGCTCCTGAATTCTGTCTCCTGCTCCTGTGCACAGTTCTGAAGGCTCCAGATTTTTCCTCTTAAATTCTTATCCAGAGGGACACACCAGCCCCTCCCTTGACATGAATACCACCCCAGTTTGGTGGCTTCCAGTGTAAACTTTTCAACACACACTCAGTCACACGTGGAGGAAGACAAGAGCCTGCAGGAGCCCGACAGACGTGTGCTTGAAGCAGTGCCTGGCATTCCAGGAGAGCTCTCCACCTCGACAAATGCCAGTCAAATGACACATTTTCAAGAGGAAAAGCTGGGGGAGAAAATCGGTAGTCAAACATCTCCTACCATTTCTGTGGAATGTTACCAAACAGGCATAGCATTACTCCCTACACGGCGGGGAGTCCTTCTGGGTGGCTTCACACCTCCATGGCCGCAAAGAACTAACTTTAGTCCGAAGCACTTCCCAGTAAAATGACCACCTTCCCCAATCTCGAAAATGACTAAATACTTCTTTTACCCCTTAACTTCTTGCTGGGTAGGAGTTACATGAGGTCATGGCATAAGATTTCCTTTAAAGTTTACTGTGACCACCAAGAGCATCTAGAAATAATATATAATAAGTATTTTTGATCATTATGAGCAAAAACCTTTAGACTACCAAAGGCATCCAGTTCATTGAAAACAATTAGCATAAAAAAATGAGCAAACAAAGCCCCCTAAAGTCTTACTCTGCCCCATGTGTTTTATTAACTCATAAGCAGAGCCTTTGTGGACACACTGAGTTGTCCCTTGGTTAACCATCCTTGCTAATAGTATAGGTGACAATACTTTTAAAATAGAAATCAAATATATAAAAATAAAGATAAATACTTATATACATGTAAATGTACACATTATAAATATGAGTATAAATATAAACACTTATATATAAATTAATATAAATAAGAACTTCAAGTTTCATATTTTTGTCATTTACTGGCAATATATTTTGTTGTCATCAGTCTCCAACGATCAGTATTTGGTTTCTGGTTTCCTGTGTGAAAGGGCAGCTATACATCTATCTTTGCGTGATAAGAAACTATGATTTTCTGTCACTTTTTGTAACTTTAGGGCCTTAAAGTGCAAGGTACTCAAGGAACAGATAGAACCATCTATGGAGGTTATAGAACTACCCTAACAGAAGCTCAGGGGACCCCCCAGAACTGTGACAATTTTAATGTTCAGTAAGATGAGTGCAGTGAAGGAGAGAGGAGCTTTGTTGATAAAACCTTTATCAGCAATATGAACGAGCCCAATTTCATACTTTTTATAACCTACTGTAAAGGTTACACAATAAAAAAAGGAGGAAGAAGAGGAACAGGCAACAGAAACACTTTTGGAGGGGAGCCAAGGCCGCATAGACACCCACGGTGGTGAAGGGGCCCATTGGCAGCTCTCCGACAATAGCCGCCCGGCGTCCCAGAAACCGCAGGGCACTCAAGGACTCTTCTCTGTCCTGTAGGCCAGTAGCAGTGCTTGCACTATTGTTTCCACTAACGGTACATCCAGGCCGAATCTGAACCGGGGAACCCTTCCACCCCCTGTGTGGCAGCTTCACTGAAGTCCTGGAGAAGTTCATCGGAAAATGCTGCACCGCAATGCTGGTGCCCTAGAAGCCTACACTGTGACATGCGATTGATGAAACAGAGCTCCTCGGAACCAGTGTTAGCTGGGCAGTAAGAGCCAGTCTAAGGAAGGTCAAGGTCAGGCCAGTCCTGGCTACAGCCAGCAACTTTCAAGGTGTTGGCTCTGCTTGGTCAAGCAGCTAGGACTTCACGCAAATCTTGAGATCTTTTTCTCAGAATGGCTTTCCCACCTCTTTGGCTACATGTCACTATTTAAAGTTGGCAAGCTTCTCCGTGTCACGCTGGGATCGGGAGTGCACAGGACAGGGAGAAGGACAGGCACCCCGATGGTGACCTTCTGCGCATGTCACCGGCACCCTGCCTGGAGGTCTAGGGCACAGACCCTTGACTGTGGAGCCACAACACTGAGGGAAACAGCAAGGCACGTACTGGCCCCAACCAACGTTTGTGCTGGTGTAGAGCTTTCTCTAGTCAATAGTGTTTGTTTATCTTGCCCCTTTTCCTTTTCCTTGGACCTTAAAATCCTTTTTCTCTCCTAATCAGCTGTTTCATATGGCAATCCCTTCCCACACATACACTACGCATAAATGGATTTCACCAAGTCATTTGCAATGAGGTTGCAGAACCTCACCCTTATTATAGCACTCACCCTTAAGTCTCTAAACATCCTACAAAATGACTTTTCTTTTCAAATAAAACCATAGGGCTTTTCAAGTGATTGGCTGTTTCCGTAGGCCTAGTCACAGGCGAATCGAGTACTTCAAGTGCACTTCACGGAACCCTGCGGTGGGGTGCCAGCTGTTGGCAGGTGCTGAGCCAAACCGTGGGGGCTCTGCTGTCGGAGGTGAGGCTAAGTCAGGCCAAGGTAAGCGAGTCCGCTCACCGCAGGGCTCTGCGCACTTGGTAAGACAGGCACCGCAGAGAACTGCACTGCCAAACCCGATCTGAACTCAGGAGCCTTCCTCTCATGGAGAATTCTGTGAAACTCTGCGTCTCAGAAAAAAATAATAATAAAGGAAGTATTCAACCCCCAGTGTGGACTTGATCTTTGCAAGCCACACTGCTGATGGTTATAAACAAATTCGGCTTTGTCAGTTGTTCCTGAAAAGCCTACTGACAATTAGCACATGTTCTTCCCTCCACCTCGCGCCATCAATAAACTTTATATATAATTATTATACCATGAATCAGGAGGGTTTGTCTACTGGTGTAATGATTTTACAAAGTAAAGGATATTCATTTCATTCCGAAGTTTGGTTTTTTTGGATAGAGGTTAAAAGCGGCATTCACGAGTAGGGCCCTTTAAAGTGAGACTCACTGTGCATTCGAAGCATCCTTAGAAACCCTCCCATTTCCAAGCATTATAATGTTCTCATCATCTTTCACTTTCTTTCCCACGTTTTGTCTGGTTAGCAGGGTCCTTTGTCAAGCCTCCTCTTTTCCTTGTCCACTTTTCTTGTTCCAAAAATTGCCAAAAGCATTAACCACATTCACAACACATTGAGTAAAACCGCTATTTAAAAATAATATATTGTATTGGCTTTGACTTTTGAAAGCCAGAATAAAATATAGTTTTCACTTTTCTTTTATGTATTTTAAATAACGAGCTTAAGGCCTGAAGACATCGCTTTAATAAGACAAATGGGCACTTCAGAACAGTCCTCCCGATTCTGATGAAAACTTTTCATTGACCTCAGAAGTTTTTGTCATGGCTTGTCACAGAGGATCAAAGACTTCGGTCGCTTGGGCCATTCGTTTTCTGGTGGCAGGGAGACAGAGATCTGGTCTGCCACATGGAGCAGTTATGACTATCACCCTCAGGTCGCCCCTGCTTCTAGGCTCTCAGAATGCGACCTCCGTCTGGTTTGACACCTGTGAGTGCGCCATGGGACAGACTGATGGCCACACTTCCGGACCTGTGCCCCGAATCCGTGACAAGGAACAGAGGCGTAGAGAGCCTTCTCCCCACACCTGCCGGAGTTCTTGCTCTGGCCTCTCTGGGTGACAGTCATCCCTCCACTTGTGTTTCTTACATTTGTGGGAAAACAGAACTCAGGGGCCCCTGCACGGTCAGCACGTACCAAAGGGTGAAGTCCAAGCCAGGTCATCTGTACGCAGTCCATCTTCCTCATGTGACTATCCATTCGTTCTAGTCTGAACAACACGTGTTCAGCGCATGTAAAGCAGTTCCCATGAAATCTATCCACCGTGTACTTCCAGAATCTTCTCTCCTGCACAGCATCTTGCTTGGGATCATCAAAAGGATAAGGTCGTGTCCACTGCAATGTAATGCAAACTTCTGAATGGAAAATTCTGCCTCACGTTGGTCACCTGCTCACCCTGCCTTTTCCTCTGCACCGGCCTCCCACAGACACGGCTCCCCCGTGTCACACCCAGACTCCTCGTGCAGGTCTGTGTCCGAGGAAACACACAGCAGGCATGTGCCAGGCCAATAAATCCTCCCATATTCTAAGTGTGGGAGTTTTCAGGTATGGTGATGTGAGGGCCACATTTGCATAAAATAGAACGTAGCTCTGATACCCAATGTTTGCACCTCTTTCCACCAGCCAAGTGCACTGGACCAACTTCACACACCCTGCAAGTTAACAGTCTATAATATTTGAAACCAGTAACGTTAATGTATGATCTTAAGATCACAAAAATGATTAGGATGATAAAATAAACAAACATGAAAGAATACTTCAAAATTTTACATAATACTTTGTATAACTATGAAGTGAAAAAAACTGAATGCTGACCATTCACAAGCAGAACGGCTCTGAAGGGGACGGTCGTCACATAGGGACACGGACAGCAATGCGCATACAACGGGCCTTCCCAGCCAGTGGACCGGCCGCACGACCCACGCCTCTAACCAGCCGCAGCCCTCACTCCCTCGGAGGGACGTGGGTGGTGCTCCCATAGGTCCGGCTTCCACCCGGGGCGGGCGCTTCCAAACACATTTCGCAACCCCCAAGGAGATTCTCCCCTGAAAAGTTAGAACTTAATTCTCCATTTTTGTGCGAGAGTTTTTAATTAATGTATCTGCACAATAATTTCAGCT